CGTACAGAAAGCCGAGTTACCACTTGCTAAATGTGAAACAGGGACCCCAAGAGAACCTCAGATCCTATGTTCAGAGGTTCAACTTTGAATCACTAAAAGTGAATGTCCCAGACGAGAAATTTGTCATTACTGCATTCATAGTTGGTTTAGGCGTACAATCTAAAGACCTGATGTTTTCTATTTCGAAAAATACACATGCCAATATGGCCGAAGTACTGACCAAGGCAGAAAAGTACATAAACGGTGAAGAAGCTCTCCTCTCAAAAATGGGGAGCTCATCCATGCAAAAAGACAAAGGGAAGAAAGAGAAATAGGACAAGATAGGTCCCCAAGGAGAGACAAAGATCGATCCCCCAATAAAAAGGGAGATGTCAGAGATCGCTTGGGACCACCTTATCCAGAGTTGCAGCCGAGGTAAGCATCTCGGCAGGTCCCTCCACTCACCGCAACAATATCGCAAATCTTGTATGAAGTACAAAACGAAAAATTCTTGAGGTGGTCACCCCGGATAAAAACAGACCCGATGAAAATTTTACTCCACTCTTGGAATGCAGAACATCTTAAGAAATTTTTTCAATAAGTTTGTCCTGCAATATGATTATTAATAAAGCAACAAGTCTGTGGTTCATTCACTCTTACGAAGAGCCCTAGAGCTCACGACGAACTCATTAGTCCGTAATAAGTGCCTTAGAGCTCATGATGAACTCATTAGTTTAAAAAGAGCCATGAAACTCATGACGAACTCGTTGGTTCATAAAAAGAGCCCTGGAGCTCACGACGAATTAGTCCATAATAAGAGCCTTGGAGCTCACGACGAACTCCTTAGTTCGTAATAAGAGCCAGGAGCTCACGACGAACTTATTAGTTCGTAATAAAAGCCCTAGAGCTCACGACGAACTCATTAGTCTGTAATAAGTGTCTTAGAGGTCACGATGAACTCATTAGTTCGTAAAAAGAGCCCTAGAGCTCACGATGAACTCGTTAGTTCGTAATAAAAGCCCTGGAGCTCACGACGAACTCATTAGTTTGTAATAAGAGCCCTGAAGTTCACGACGAACTCATTAGTCTGTAATAAGAGCCTTAGAGCTCACGATGAACTCGTTAGTTCATAAAAAGAACCCTGTAGCTCACAACGAACTCGTTAGTTCATAAAAAAAACCCTGGAACTCACGACAAACTCATAAGTTCCTAAAAGAACCCTGGAGCTCACGACGAACTCATTAGTTCATAATAAGAGCCCTAGAGCTCACGACGAACTCATTAGTCCGTAATAAAGCCTTAGAGCTCACGATGAACTCATTAGTTCATAAAAAGCCTAGAGCTCACGATGAACTCCTAAATTCATGAAAACGAGCTTAATAGCTCACGATGAACTCCTAAATTCATGAGAACGAGCTCAGTAGCTCACAATAAACTCCTAAGTTCATATGAATGAGCTCAGAAGCTCATGATGAACCCTTAAGTTCATAACAATGAGCTCAGTTGCTCTCGATGAACTCCTAAGGTCATCAGAACGAGCTCGGCCACCTACGGTGGGGAGTTTAAAAGAAAAACTCTTTCAAAAGAATTGCAGAACCATGAGGTCTACAAGTCGAACATCCTGAAAAACCCAGACAATTCCCAAGTCCAGAATTGAACTCGACAACCTTATTCCCACTAAAGATAAAGCTGTGTCAGACACCCCCAAGCCTTCAAGTATAAGATCGCTTTAAGCTCTATGCCTCTCAGTTCACCATAACCTAAGCTCGGCTGCATAAACCTATAGAATCGCCATAGCCAGCATGAAACGCAGGGAGCAGTTGGTGATGAGATTTACCACTTACTCTCATCCAATAAGCTCAAGTATGAAACTCCCAAAGCATTCTTGCTTCAGGAAGAGCTCAGCACTCCTTAAAACAAAGGGGACAAGGGAAGACTAAAGTAAAAATGCACAGGTAGAGCACATCTGAAGTCGCTAATTGGGAAGCCATTACTGTTACATCCTAAGTTCAGCCTTTGCCCAAGCTAGTTCGGCCAAGAGCTGGGGGGCAACTGATGATACTCAGAATGATTCCTGAGCAGGAGCTCGAGAACGGAGGTCAAACATGGAGGTCAGGTATGCTGAGCTCAGAAAGTCAGAGCTAGAGCTCCCCTCAAGCGAGATAATAAGTTGAAGCAATGAGGAAGCAATTGGATACTACAAAGAACTCTACAGGTGGTTTGAAGTAACACTCAAGGCACAAAATCCTCAACCAACCAAGATACTCTCCTAAGATCAAGGAGAATTCCTCGGATAGATGTCGAGGATCACGGATCAGATCTCATAGATTAAGGGTCACCCCTATAAATACCATGTAACGCCCCCATCACAAAGGGGGACCGAATGACCAAAAACCTATTCTGTAAACCTTTGGTATAATCAATAAAGAAAAATGAGTCATAGCCTCCATTGAAGAGTGGATTAATCGAGCTCCCTAGTTAGTGAACCACTATATTTCCTCTGTGTTAATCCTTCAATTCTCAGAGAACATTAAGCACCATCCCCTGAAGCCAAGTGGCTCAGACGTTAATAATCAGAATATTGCTTATCCCATTGACTTCTTACCACAAAATTGTTTCGCCATTGATTTGCACCATCAAATACCATCTCTCTCTCTCTCTCACTCACTCACTCAGCTCGATAGATGGAGACGAAAAGTTAGACACTCAAAACTCTAACTCAAGGTTTCTTCTATTCTGTTTTTTTTTTTTTCATTTTTCTTTTTGTTTTAAATTGATAAGCAACCTAAAGCTTTGTTTATTCATTAACAAAAAAATCAGGAGTACAAAATTAACACCGTACAAATAATTTCAAGTCCTTCTTGGGACAAACAAAATAATTTTGAATTAAACGTGTTAAACAAAACGTGTCATGTAACTTGTTTATTAAACGAGTCGTGAACGGTAGATATTTTTTACTCGTTTATTAAACGTGTCATATATGGGTTATTGGTTTTTCACCTATCACCCATTTAACCCGACATATAAATGTTTAACTGGTTGACACCCGTGCACACCACAAGTAGGGCCACATGGTCCGGTAAAATCGTACAAAATTGAGAGAGAATAAAAGAGAAAGCTGAGACTATGAGAGAGAGAGAGAGAGAGAGAGAGAGAGAGAGAGAGAGAGAGAGCTGTGGATTGAAAGCTGAGATCATGAAACTGCCTTTTTTTTTTTGTGATCTGATGAAAATTGCAAACTTACAGAAGGTGGAAAATTAATGTTGTGGAAACCGTCACCAAACTCAGAGATCATCACTTCCCAACTGTCTGAATAAATTGCTTTAATTACTGTTCTCATATTCACCTACCAAGAACCAGAAGTACCTGCATGGCTTTGCTCATAAATCTTTGGAACTACTTCTGGTAAAGAATGCATCTTCCATTGAGCTTGTAGTTCTCCTGACTTCAATAATGGTTGTACTCTCTCTCTCTCTCTCTCATCTATTTTTGGACAGTTAATCAAATTAAACTATTCGAATTCGGCTTGTTCAAAGTCGTTTGAAAAACGAGCCCAATAGATTCGACTCGAAATAGAGAGACTCAACTCGTTTATGTGTAAATACTCGAGTTTGATTCTGGTTCAACTGTTTTGGATTTGTTCAGGCTCAACTCGTTTTTTAAACGAACCAAAATTGAACAATTTTTTAAATTCGATTAAAAAAATAAAGATTTTAGATTTGGCTTGAGCTCCTTCGACTATCAGCCCTCCTCTCTATCTCTCTCTCACACACGGTGTTGCTAAACCACTAATCTATGTACATGCAAACTGAATATTCCCTTTGACCCTGTTCCCCAAGGCAGCTGCTTCTCTTCTTCTTCTTTGTTATTTTTTGCTAACCGGCGAAGAGAATTTTTATTTAGAGGGTCGGCCTTGGCGTAGGGATGCATTTTTATTTAGATGCTGCAACTTGAATATTAAAATATTAATTTTAGTAAGAGGTGGATTGAATTAATTTTATTTGATAATAATATAAAACTAAATTGGATGAGGTTATAACGACCTGATATTAATTTTAATTAATCCCAACCTAATTGCCATTTAATATCAAATATTAGGTAGTAATGAATACTATGTAATAGATGGAATTGTTTTTAACAAGCTAAGTATTAAAAATGTAATAACACTATTTTATGAATTGAATGAGAACTAATTATTCAATCTCTTCCTTTATTTGTACTTGAACTAAATATGCTCTATGGGTCGAATTGCAGAAACCATTGTTCTGTATACATATAAATATAGGGTCAATTGTTTTTAATCTCTTGTGGTTTTGGTTAGAAATATCTTACCTTGATGTTTAAAATTATATATTTTCTCTCGTTATAGTTATGTACCAAAATGAAGTAATTAACGCCGTTAATGGAATTAAAAAATTACTATAATACTCACGTTTTAAAATTAAAATTTTCATCTGATTTACTCTTGACCATAAAATTAATGGAACATGACAACAAATCAACAAATTTCAATCAAACATGTCGAGTCTCTTTTTCCCTCAATTGAAGTTTTTGTTCCGAGATCAAAAATCACTTATGTTTTTCTTACATGTTTTTTTTATCTATGATCGATATCCTATATATTTGGGTATTATTATACTATATATTATAAAAGGTATTTGATATACTTTGACAATATTCTTTTGGAGAAAAATAATAGAAATAAAGTCTACAACAAGTTTTGGATGTGTAGAGTATACTCTCTATTAACTTAGTTGATAAAAATAACCATTCACTTTAATGCATAATTATAAAAGGGTAATATGCACAATTTTAGATGTCAAATAGATATGATGCTTCTAAGGGATACATCTTCAGAGATTTTTATGATTGTTCATCAACACAAAGACCATTGCATAATGTAACAGTTACAATTTTATAAGCTAGAAAAACACAGCCCAAAAAGAGTAATAAAAAGGGGAAATATAGACATCTCCATTATTTAAGTAAGTAATAACCTTTGAAGAGGAAAACTAAAGTCTTCAAGGCTTATGGTGCTGAGTGTAAATGTAGTCCAAGTGAGCCTCTGCAAGAACCCTTCTCTTCAAGCACTCTTCATCTCCACTTTCACAATCTTCTATCCCCATGAGAGTCTAATAGCATCATTAAACCAGAAGAAGAGTTAGAACAAAAGAAACTCAAAATTTACAAGAAGCTATAGTAGAAATAGAAGATTACATTTAAATAGTTATTGCCTTCTATATGTACAAGCGAATCTCCGGTGGTTTTATTATTGAGCTTTGCCTCCTCTTTTCCTGCAGAACATTCAACACTACAGTTAGTTCAGAAAAGTAAAACATAAGACGAAGAAGACGAAGAAGAAGAGAGGTTTGGTTACCATGATTTGTTTCAAGGATACGGGCAGATGCGTGTGAGGAGATAATAAGCAAAACAAAGAGAACAGCACAAGAATGGGAGTTTTGCTTCATCTCAGCTTCTGTGTGTGTGTGCGCGCGTGTGTTTTGTGTGTGTGTGTGTGAGAGAGAGAGAGAGAGAGAGAGAGAGAGAGAGAGAGAGAGAGAGAGAGAGAGAGTAGGGCGTTGGAAGTTGGAGGTACTGGAGGGGACAGATGCCTGGTATAAATAAAAACATGCAGAGAAGCGCAATGCTTTAAGTGATGCCCCAAACTACAATACATTATGAAATGGACCCAACCCACCATCATCTGATTGTACTCTTCATGCTCATGTGACAACAGTCACAACGCCAAGACTAATCAATCTGGTAAATCTGTGTGTGTATGAGAGAGAGAGAGAGAGAGAGAGAGAGAGAGAGGTGGGTTGCTTTAGTCATTGTCAAGGTAGTGGTCCAGGTAAAGTCCAAGAATTTCAAAAATCAATGTATAATAGTGGCTGACAGACTTAAGAAGTCAACCTTTTCGGACATGCAGACAACTGGTTTCCATCATCACATGTTTTCACTTTGAGCAATATATATTTTTTTTAAAATGTTAAATAGATTTAAAAAATTTGACTTAATAATTTAATCATTATCTTTAAATAAATAGTGAGTTTAAATAAATATTATGACATATAATTAAATTAATAATAAATATAACAATAACATCATTAAGTCTAATTTTTAAATCAAAATTTTAAATCTGTGTAATATTACTCTTTTTATTTAATAACTAACTTTGAGCAATGTTCTTGTACATAAAACATTGATTTAATTTGTTGAAACTTTTAACCTCTCATTATCTGTGTTAAAAGACTCTTCAAAAAAGATAATGTTACAAGAACTTTATTTAATGATATTATTTGTTGATCTTATTATTTTCTGTTATTAAATTGACTATTGACTTCACTATTAATTAGAATTCACTATTAATTCAAGACTATGATTCATCATCTCATCAGATAAGATCACTAAATTAGGTATAAAAAAACGTTTCCCTTTCAAAAATCAATTTCATTTTGTTCCTACATTTGAATTTAGTTTTACTTGAAACGATTGGGTGCTACAATAAATGATAAATTATATTCAAGTCCCCTAACATTTGATTTTATTATACGAACACCCCTCACTTTTTAAAATTACATTGAGACCCCAATAGTTAAACGGAGTTAACCATCTTAATAAAAAAAACTATTTTACCCCTTTATTTAACACAAACACAACCTAAACCCTAAACCCTAAACTCAATCCCTAACCCAAACCCTAAACTTCACCGTCATCTACACAGTACTCTCTCTCTCTCTCTCTCAAGGCGAGGATCTAGCTCGAAATCATCGGTCTCCTCTCTCTTCATCATTTCCACTGTTTGTGGGATTTCTTGTATAAGGTTGTGGCGAGCACGCCGAGGTAGCGGCTGATGGCGCTTTCATGGCGGAATAAGGTATCTCCGATGTCAAATTCAAGACCCATTTCAGTCTGGATTTCGGATTGGCACCTGGGTTTCGGTGTGGAAGTGATGTGTGAGGGATTATGGTGGAAAATGAAGGGTGCTTTGGGTTTTTGGGGCCTGGGTTTACGATTTTGCGAAGGAAGGAGTAAGAGGATAAGGGCTTAGGAGAGAGACAAAACATGGCAAGAAGTATTTGGGTGGGCTTTTCTTTGTTTTGTTGTATATATATAACAGCCCGAAATTGCAAAAGAATTAGGAAAAATTGCTAGCCTTCCTCTACCACTGCAGCACCCACTAGTAGCCACCCTATCCAGTGGCGACTTATTTTTCTGTGAGATGGCCGATTTTTCGGAGCTCTTTGTAGAGCTCACCACCATAGGCATACTCCAAAATCAAGTAAATTCTCCATGGGCATACTCCAAAATCAGGTAAATTCTCTCTGAATCGTGAAACCAAGCTCACCACCATGTTTTTCTGTGTATATTGCAAGGATCATTGTTTTTGGGGCTTCTTTTCAGTTTGGGAAGGCATTTGCTGGGAATTGATTCGAAGCCATAGTTGAGGATTGGAAGTATGTGTGTGTGTGTGTGTGTGTGCGTGAGAGAGAGAAAGAGAGGAGGATGAGGACGAGGACGAAGAAGAGGACGAGGATGAGGACCAGGAAGTGGTGGTGGTTTCTGTGGTGTGGAGGCAGCGATGGGTATACAGACGGCTAGGGTTGGGTTGAATTTTGTGAGAGGGTAGTGAAGGGAATGTAGGAAGAAGATGACTAGGGTTTAAGGATGTGGGGTTTATTAATTGTTTGGATTTTTTTTTCAATTTATTTATTTTGACTTATTCCAATAAAGGGGTGAGTTAGATAGGTTGGTTATGGGCGTTGGTAAGTCTCAAGGATATATGAGGGTTAAAAATTTCTTTTTAATGAAATTGTTAACATCTGTTAGACAAAAGGGGTATTACTGTCGCACGTGGTCAAATGTTAAGGGGTCTTCAGTGTAATTTTTGAAACGTGAGAAGGTGTCCGTATAATAAAATCAAATGTCAGGAGTGTGAGTGTAATTTATCCTAAAATAAAATATTTTTCTGTGTGATTTCTATTAGTAAAAGTTAAAAGTATTGTGGCAAATCAAATCACACCCAAACGTGATATTTATATATCAAAAGCAAAGCCTTTTGAAACTATAAAGTCACCAACGAAATTGCAGCCTACATGTAAGCCACCAATATGAGTGGGATCAAACCTTAATCCACATGAGTATATCAACAATGTTCTCTTACCAAACATTCTCTCTCATCCTACCTTTTGTTTATTTACATGGTTATATTAGAAAATTATCCTACTTAAGTTTCTTTAACATTAGTGATGACTATATAATTTAGATATGCACAACTAATCATAGATCACCCAAAACTTAAATTTATAGTCTCGTAATGGTATATCACATGACATTTCATGTCAGTCGGATCTAGATCTTCTCAATTTACTCAATGATAAATTATCAACTGTGTAAGAATGAGACTCACATATAAATAATGGATTACACGCGAGTATATGATGAGTGATCTACCATTAAATTGAAAAAGTAATTGAGAGGATCTCAATTCATTTAAAAATGAAAACATAAGTCTTTGATTCAAGGGGCGATGCAACGTTCACAATAATGTAGTGCCTCTTTATTTTGTACAGGGGAAGAAGGAGTGACTCCTTACCATGGAACTACTTTCTCACCTCCACTTTTATCATACTGATCATATTATATTGAAGCTGAGAGATTATGCTTCTCTGTGGGAAGATTTCAATCTTTCTATGCTTGCTGAAAAAAAAACAAAAATGTAACAAAATAACCCTGTAGTTGGGTTGGAATATGTAAGGAGATAAATGTTTTTTATACTAGCAATGTTATTTGTATTTAATTTACTGCTCTTATGAATCACAAATATTGAATTGACGGTGGGTATTACCTTAAATTGAGAGCCGCTACCATCGGAATAGTTATGATGATGCATTAGGACAACAAATTAAGTTCAAATGACATTTATGTTTTATATTACAAAAAATCCATGAAGAATTGCACTGGAATATTGAGTGTGTTGTCTGCTAGTCTTGGACAAATCTGAATAGGAAAATATTGCTTAACCCATTTGGGAATATATAGATTTGAGACAGTGGCATTGGAACATGATACCAAATCTTATAATATATATTAGCAGATTCTTTATGGAAACACTCTTTTTTTTTTTAAAATATATAAACTAAAATTAAGCTTTGCTTGGTTTATATTTAAATATGAATGTTGCATAACATTCCTACCAATACTTCTTTGAAACTGAGTGGGCTTATGACATGTTTTGTTCCACTCAGCAACTAGCATTAGACTGAGATTTGCTAAGTTTGTGGTATACACATCCTGATAAGTCCTTTGTTGTCCAATAGATATCAAGATTATCCATATTGCCCCGACTCATGTTGCCCTCTATCCATTAAACTGATAGACTTTGAGAATCAATCTCTAAACTGGAGGCAAACTATCAATTATACCTTGAAATCTTTTCCACTGAGTACGAGTATGATATGGGTATTTCACATTTTCTCCACTTCTCTCTTTGCAATGAAGCCAGATCCCCACACCCTTTTTTGTTTTGGCTTACAGGAATTGCTTTAGCTTTATGCCTTTGCCAAAAGACTGTAAAATATATAAGAGAATCTCCACTTCTAACTCCAATGCTATGGCATCTCCATTATTGATTTTGCCCAGAAACAATTCCAAGTGCTTTTGATCCTTTTTGCCTTTTTTTTAGGACTTTGGATGCTGATTTTCTTTGCTTCTCCACTATGTAACCTATTATTTATGGCAATCATCCCAGCAAACAAAGTGCTCTGCAACATATGTCTCTTCCACTGCAGTCACTGTGCTTTTCCCAATTTCAAATTTGAGGGGGCGGCCCAAGAAATATATTGCTAGTTTGAATTTGGATATCGACCTCATCAAAATAAGGGCAAGATTGTCTGTCATTGACCTCTATTGGGCCTTATAAAAAGTGAGAGACTAGTGTATTCCAGACACCCTTATGAAGTTAATTTGCTTCGACTATATTCGCACAATCATGCAGGATATGAGTATGATGTCCATTGAGGAACTGCTCAAGTTAGAACAAAAAAAGTTAGAATCAATTCTAACGTTTAGAGGATCGATTATTCACAAAAAATATTTGGAGGTCAAGTTACACCATTTTGGGAGCAATTACAGCATAATGGGTAAAGGGAAAAAAAACTTGGGTCCTTTGAAGACCAATCCATTTTTGTAGACTTAAGTTTACTCAAAAAACTTGTTTGGGAATAAGTCTATTTTGATCTTCGTTATCCAAAATACTCTAAACAATCATATTTAAACAAATATGTCATAAATT